CCCTGTATATATAATGGTTCAGGTTTTATCATTTTACGCAACAATATTATCCTGTACACAAAATACACAATTCAAATAGCAAACAGCAAATGGATCTTTCTTAAAATATGATGTCATTCCATTTGATTATTTACGAGCACGATTATTACTAACGCGGTAAAAGGTTTTTTATTTGAAGTGTTCCATTAGAAACACATCTCGACGCCGAGTCGGTTACATCTGAATCAACATTATGCATAATATATACCGTTGTAAATACTTGAATGGAATTACACGGAACAAGCGAGTGACGGTCGTCGTCACAATTGAAATCATTTGGGAAAAAAAAGGAGGGAAAGAAATGATCGTCATCGATCATCGGGCACGAGAAATCGCGGAGTACTTATGCTCGCGTTAAGTGTGTGTTTGCAAGTTTTTACAGCGCAATTCCGAAATTAGAAAATCCATTAAACGAGAGATGTAAAGTTTTTTCTGTCCTGTTGCTTCGAGTACTTAACCGATGTAGGTAAGGCGCGGTAGTAGGTATACATTATGGACGGGCAAGGAAAAGTACCAAACACTTAAGCGACGTCTTGGACGAGGGGAAAAAAAAAGAAAATTCCGAATTAATCTCCTCGGTGGTGGCAAAAAGTGGGGAACTGAAAATGATGATTAACGTGCACACATCAACACGGAAAGGACCATTGCGCACGCGACACATATCATAGTGTTCTCTCATTTGAGAGTTGAATAAGAGTTTAAATGATAGAGTTTGAAATAAGTAATATACACTGTAAGCTTAATGGTAATGGTCGATGGTGGGACGTCGAATTTATTAGGTCATAGCAAACGTACAGATTGATGTAAACCGAAAATTCAAACCTTAATTATTTTTTTTAATTGTTTGTCTACATACTAACATGAATAATATGATATTGGGGTGCGGATACGAGAAATTTCATTTTCGCGTTACACTTTCACTTTCACGTGATAAGAGGTATGATAAAAGTGATAATAGATAAATGAACAATGAAAATTGATAATATATTACAGATGAGTGATAAATGATAAGAGATAACGTCATAATATCCATTATCCATGATTCAGTTTTTTTTCTGTGCAGGTTTTTTTTTTGGAATGAAAAACATGAAAAAAACCAAATTTCATTTTCACGTTACACTTTTACTTTCACGTGATAAGCGATACGATAAAAGTGATAAGAGATAAGTGAACAATGAACATTGGTAGGATATAACAGATAAGCGATAAATGATAAGAGATAAACATTAGCTATAAGAGATATCATAATATCCATTATCCATGATTCAGTTTTTTTTCTGTGGAGATTTTTTTTTGAATCAAAAACATATGTTTCTATTTGAAAAAAACCAAATTTCATTTTCGCGTTACACTTTCACTTTTATGTGATAAGAGATAAGTGAAAAATGAAAATGTATAAGGGATAAGTGATATGCGATAAGATATTAGTAAGAGATAGCATGTCCATTATCCATAATTCAGTATTTTTCTGTGGAGTTTTTTTTTTGGAATCAAAAATATCTGTTTCTATTTGAAAAAAAAACCAAATTTCATTTTCGCGTTACACTTTCACTTTCATGTGATAAGAGATAAGTGAAAAATAAAAATTTATAAGAGATAAGTGATGAGTGATAAGAGATAAAATATCCATGGTTTAATGTTTTTCTGTGAAGCGAAGAAAAGAACTATAGACTTAGTTTTTTGGAATCAAAAACATATGTTTCCATTTGAAAAAAACCAACTTGTTTAAAGTGTAAGGGATGAAAATACACATTTTCAAAGTACTCATATTTTCCGAGAAACGGAGTGTCTTACATCGGATGAATCACCCTGTACGCATATACTTAAAAGGTTTTTAAAAGAAATAGCGTCGGATATGAAATTGTCAGAGGAAATTATTATTATTATTAGGACTTTATACAACGAACAAGGATGTTTGCTTGCTTTCGTCGCCTGCAAAAAGAAAATATTTGTCGTTTTCCGTCTGTGTTATTTTCGCCAGTACAAACACTTTGCCGTTAACTGTCGAACGCCGTCAAAGGTGTGGAAGAGATCAATTTGTTTATCGCAGTTGTGCTCTGTCGGCGAATTTCAAAGGCCATAAGCAAAAGTGTCCAAAAAAAAAAAACACTCATCGTCGGCAAACATAATATAATTTGTGATTACTTTCCAGCACTTTTGAATTCGATTCGATTAGTTTTTTTTTTTAACTTATTTTATGATGTTATACCAACACCAAGACAACCGCAGTAACAAACAACATGTTTTTAGTCAAGCTAAAGCTAACCGTTGTCGATACGTTCTACTATTATTGTCTAACATATATACCAACATAGTTTTTTTTACATTTAAAGGTAGTCTATAGATTGGAGAAAAAATGTGTGGTTGTTGATGTTGGATGTCATGAAGGTGTGTGTGTGGAGTGATAGAACATAAAGTTGTGAAAAAATAGGATTTGGTGGAATGACCTCAAGTGCATATAAGTTTCTTATACTTCTTCTTGATTTATTATCATACAAAGGAAATAAAGAAACAGCGGATAAGGTTAAACGCAATATTGATTAACGTTGAAGATTAAAATATTGCTTAAGATATTTGTTTTGTTTTCCTCGACTTACTAATATATAGTTGATGGATTTTCGTTGAGTTAACTTTGCGAATCGCTCCGCTTTTAGATGATATCATTATTTTTCTCCACTCCATATAATATTATGTAGTTGAATGGAACTTTGGTAGGTTTTATCGAGCAGCGTCTTTCCGGAGGGCCATAAAACAAATACCCGACCTGGAGAGCTTTTGGAGTTTTATCTATAACTATGATCATTGCTATATTTTACCACACGTTGGAAACTTATTCCGCTAGAATTTATCAAAATTATTCCAAACTATATGGTCTGTATGTTTGTTATTCTCTTTTTTCCCTTTGAATTTGGTTAATATTTATTCCGTTTGTTTGTCACCTCGTGTTGGTGTTCGCGTACATGACTCCACTTGGTGTCTACACACTGAGAAGTTATCAATTTAGCCTTAGATTTACTGATTTCTGACTCTGACATTGTGGAAAAAAATCACCATTGAAATCATCGAAAACCAAAAATCCTGCAAATGGGTTTTTACGTTTTTGTTATTAAAATTAAAACGGCATTTCCCATTAAAATAATTGCCCATTCGCAATCGGTTATCCGGGAATAATGTTTTGGCATTAATTATTACCAACGAACAACGGGCGGTTAATTATGAATATTTTGTGGCGTTTTTGAGTCTACGGATGTCTTGGGATTTCGTGGCGTGGGAACGTGGCCGGATGTAGGTCAACCACGTGATGGTCTCGTTATCTCCAATGAAGGGCAAAGAAAACAACGTCGACCCGACCGCGGTTGGCGGATGTGTGTGTGTATTTTCCCCTAAGTTTTGCCCGGTGGTATTAAAATTAACGAAGGGTCCGGGACTTTCTTATGTGTGCACTCTAAAAAAAAAAAAAAAATGGGAAAATGTAAGCACACTTTAATAAATCTCAGGTCTGTGTGACCAAAAACGAAAATGGTAAAACTCTAATCCTTCCCTTCTACAGTGTGGTCAAAGAAATATGATCAAACGTTTGTAACGTTATCACCATCAACGTTCGTTGATCGATCACTTGTTATCAGTGATCGTTATCAATAAAAAGTGTGTACAACATAATATTCGGCTCTATAAATTTTGGCCCTACTGCGGTTGAAGTTAAACCAATCGAAAATCTTTATTTGAAATTTTTTTTTTTCGCTGTGAAGTGCACTGTCTGGTTTTATTCAGTCTGTAATAATATCGACATTGATCATGGTTTTCAACGAATACAGTCTGTGGTTTTTTTTACTTACCGCAAACCGTACGCGCCATCTACCGGAGAAACGTGTCTGGTAAAGAGCTTAAGTATTCAAACCGGTAGATGGCGCAACAGGGTAGTTTTAAGGTCACAGTCGAAATATTTCCACCAACCAGCATTGATTGAAATGGAAATAATTTAATTTATGTTCGGCTTAAATTTAAATCCAATTTCAAGTATTAAAGCGGTAGACTATTTTTTTTTTTTTAATTAGCGATAGAACATTTGATGAAGAAAAAAACTATTCATCAATGTTATTTTAATCGTGAACAATGCGAGTTCATACCAGATTAATCGTATACTATATATTTTTAAATTAGTAAATACAATGAAATTAATTGAGAAAATGTCGTTGTACATTAACGCGTCTAATTCATTGTTAAATTCTCATCGTGATATAAATAATTTCACCATACGAAATTAATAGTTAAGTGAAAGAAAAACGAATAATTATGCTTCGGTAAAACTGTAATAGTTAATTTAATTTTGCAATTCAATCAGTTATTATAGTAGTTATTCAGCATCAAAAGACAATAACAATTTCTGTAGAAGCTGCAAAACTGCAATTAGATAGTGCGAGAACACGTGGTAATTTTATGAGTTTTTGTGATAAAAGTATTTAACACTTGGAACTTGTTCTTATACACAAGAAGTTGTAATGAACATAATAAAAGTAATTATGCAATAATGCCTATGTGCCATTTACATTAAGGGGTTGCATGCAATTTGTTTTTTTTTTTTAATTAAAAACAATACCTCGATGCTTATATAAATTAACCGGTAAATTGACACGGCCGAAATGGAGCAAAAGCTCTTTTTTTCTTAGATATTGCCTATACAAAATTCCTGAAAAACATACCGCATGCAATCCTCTTGAACGTGGCGCAGTCGGTAGGATTTTAGTTTTGTTGAATAAATTATACTTGTCTGGTAAACGCAGCAATCGTCGACGTTATAGTTATGTATTTTTTTTATTATTTAATATAATAATAATGATAAAATATGTTATTTTTGTTTTTCTCATTGTTTTTTTATTCATATATATATATATAAACCCATTGCAAATGTTGTTATTATTATTGGAAATTAGCAAAAAGCACGACATGTGTGTGTGTTGCAGTTGTGATGGTGAGATAAATCTGTAGAGTAGGACGCTACCACAGTCACAAATCGCCACTAGAAAATGAATTATGGCGTATCCGAGGCTTCGTCATTACAGGTCCCTAACATTCTCATTTCATTTTTTTTCTCTATTGTATTTGTCATTTTTTATTATTATTAATATTATTCGTTATTTATTTTTTATATTTTAAATATTTTATCTACTTCTTCTACTTCTATTAATGTTATTATTCGATACGAAAATTAAAAAAAAAAAAAAAATGGAAATATTACATAATAATATTTTCTTTTTTTTCGATACACACTGACTTTTGTTTTTCTTATTTCTCCGTCTCAAACGAACGGTCGTGCAAGATGTTGGTTACTAACACACACACACATATATGTATACATATTATATAAAGCAATTGAAAACGAAAATTGAGAAGTAGAAGTGTTAAAATTTAGCAGAACCGGTGTGGTTTGATTTAATAACTAATCAATTCGAAGTCATGTGACCTATCAAGAAGTCCAATATTTACTTGCCTCTTGGACTCGCCTCAAGAGTAATTTATTTTATATAATTCAGCTTGAGCGAATTAATTCGTAAATTCGTTAGCCTAATTATGCATTGCTCAAATCGAGTTGAATCTTACAAATTGCATAATATGTAAACCCGAATGGAAAATATAAACTCTCGATATAATATTTAACGAATATTTTATTATTACACACATACCTGTATATCATTTATTTTATTATTATTTCATACTCTCGGTGCAGGCTAAGATTTCATATTCGCGGGTGTAAACCGTTTTGCAAACGCCGTCGCTGTATATATAAATATACATTACAGGGACTATATATATATGTATAAGGATAAGATTAATATCCCGGACCCGTGTAATCCTATTGCGTCCACACGTTATGCGAGCGAAAAGTAAATCTTCGGTGTGTGTTTAAATTAGAGCAAAAAAAAAAACAGTTTCTCTCTCTCTATCTATCTTTACCTTTCACAAAAATGTAAACACAATTATTAGTCTCCTGTACGATATAGAGTGGCGGACTATTTGAACAAAATATTTAAACGTCACGGCAAATGTCCTAATTGGACGGCCTTTGTCCGCTTAGAGAATTATCAAACTAAGTCTCCAACAAAGGTGTACACTTTTTTTCTTATGTTTACAAACGTTTGCAGTCTGTTTTTTCCTTAAAATTCTAACGCGACAACTGTTATATTTTCCATATTGTTATTTAGGAAAGTGTTCAAGTATTCTCTCCAATGATAATGATTTTTACTTTATAGGTAACCAACACTTGACATGCACATATCGATCGAAAACTGTTCGTTTTATTTTCATGGCACAATTTTTTTAATAAAAATAAAATATTGTCTAATACTTCATCGATTTTTTAAAACGTTTTGTGTGTGTGCGTGTGTTTTTTTAGCCTTTCCACTGTTTCGCCATTATTGCACCGCACCCAAAACACTTGTACTATTATTATTATCATAACTTGTAGTTGTGAAGTTATAATAGGTGTAAGTCACGTCGTTATACGGAAAAATGCAACAAAATGTATAACACGTTTTTTTTTTTTTTAGTGTGAACAACTCTAATTATTTTTAATACTCTTTCAGTTTAAGAGGGTTTTCTTAAATGTAAAGAAGTTATAGTTGTTAAAAAAAATAAATAAATATAAGCTACTTTATTGGCAAAAAAAAAAGCATACATCCGTGACAATATTTGTAATTGTTATAATATTATAATACAAGTACAATAGGTATTATACACATTCATAAAGTAGTGGCTTTAATTATTGTATATTATGCTTGCTTTCTTCGCTGTTTGATTTTGTGATTTGCTTAAATTGCTATACTTGTGTGCGCTCGGTGTTGTGTTAATGTGTGACATTATTGTTATTAGTATTTTGTAAGATTTAAATTTATAAGTGTTATTTTACAAACATTTTTCGAGGTAAGTTAAAGTTATACTTGCCAAATGTAATGGTCAGAGTCTAATCACTGTTCGAATAGATTTGAATATTCTGTTTGAAAAATACTACAACTTAGAATAGTATTAAACAATATTCGCATTTTTTCAGTCAATAGTGTTATGCAATGTGCATAATATGTTCTTTAATTTATACCATACATACCAAATTTATAATCCCTTTCCACTAGTCTTTGTTTGTATCCTATCCTCTTGAATTTTTTGTAAAAAAATTAAACCGTATGCCAAAAACGTAGTGTTTTAAATATTACTATAGTTCTAACCATTTTCACTATATGCTTAGTATGGAATATTTCATTTCTATTCGATCACCTCATATTAACTATAAAATAAGTTAATATACCGCACGGTTGAGTTAAATACTGTAACAACTCAAATATTAGGAGTGTAACTACCTCCTCTAGATTTACTGCAAGTAAAAAAAAACATATCCAATATCCCAAGTTTGCAAAATCATAGGCAGTCTCCCTTAAATGTTTACCTGTAGGCGCCTTTGATTCGATTGACTGTGTTTGGAATTATTCAAATCGTTTTTAATTTGGATAATAATTTTTGAATTTATTCGAATAACTTTTACTTGAATAATTATTTGTCATCTAAACGATTATTTGGATGACGTTTTATTCGAATGATGTAAAACTCTGAATTAGGTATCTGGCAATTGTAGAGGTGATACACATAGGCGCAACTAGACTTACATCGTCGGAGGTGCTAAAGTTATGTATAGGGTGAAGGAAGGTATTTTCGTGGCATAAGCTGATTGTTAAAATAACTGTTATTTTAACAATCATTGTGATTTTCAAGACAATTTTCTAATAGGGAAATACGCGATACGATCAACAAACTATATCACGAAATTCCTTATGCCACGAAAATACTTTCCTTCACCCTACCTGACTTTTGAAAATGATCTTATCTTCAAACCATTGGATATAAAATCTAATATTTAAACAGAGTACGTACATTGGTAAAATTTTATGCGGACAAATCAATGATTTGAATTTTTGGAGGTGCTAAGGACCACGCATTGTACCTAGTTTCTAGTTGTTACGGTATTTTTTTTAACCGCCGCGGTGGAAACCACTTACCAAACCTACCCAGAATGTAACCAGTAACCACTAACCGTACTGACCGGCCTAATATGAACGACCTACAAGACGTTGTGTTTACTTATTGTGTAGGACGATGACGGCCATATGCTTCGTCTGCAACCTGCCCATCCTGAGCCATCAGGTGGGCCTGGTGTGGCAGGGCGGCAACGGATGGGACGACATACTGCGCGAGCAGATGGAGGAGACCACGCTCAAGCAGCGGCTAGGCGGCCGCCGGGACTCGGCCGCGCAGATCACCACGGAATCGCCGCCGACCGAGACCGCGGAGACCTCGCCGCCGGTCAGCCGCCGCCGGAGACGCAGCTCGCTCGCCCAGCTCACCGACATCCTGCGCGAGTGGAGCGGCACCGGCATGGGCGGCGGCGGCGGCGGTAAGGCGGCCGGCCGGCCGAAGGGCATCACCAGGCGCGAGACGCTCGCCGACATCGCCAAGACGCTGCCTTTCGGCCGGTCCAACACCATGACGTCATCGAGGAAGCGCCGCGAGTCATCCGTCGACTCCGGCATCAAGTCTTCGTCGAGCAAAGGCGGCCGCCGGGACTCCAAGACCGACTTCAGGGCCGACATAGCCAAGCTGTTGAACAACAGACGCGACTCGATCATAACGCCGAGCGTGTCGCAGCCCAGGCGCAGGGGATCCACCGAGTGAGTACACGCCCGGGGTAAACCCCTCTAAATGCATTGTAAATAAATATATCGACATGTATCCATATGTTTTTGGCCTGGGGGTCGTTCTGGAATTCGTCATGTAATCGAAATTAATAAATATGGGTACCAGGGTTCTAGAACACACACTTGTCCGTTACCGCCGCAACCGTATAATGCGCCGACCCGTCGCTTCTGAAAAGTGTGCAAGGTACTCTCGCGGTTGCTAGGACCCTGGTACACACATTTTGTTGTGTTGGTTGGTTTATTTCAAATAATGTATATACAGGGTGTTCCAGCATGAACGGTAAGTAATAGGTGATTGGACATCTGGGGGTCCCCAAATAAGCCCCCCGTTTTCATTTTTTCGATAAGTCGAAAATTGAAGATTTCGACAGTAAGTGAAAAAACAATGACTTAAAAAAAAAATTATGCCTTGTTATTCAGTGCATAAAGCTCACCTTAAAAGAGGGGTCACATCATTTTCAGTCCCTTTCGGCTCCTAACTCAAAAAATGATAAGAGAAAAATGATTGGAGACCAGAAATAAATGATAAGTGGTAAAAGATAAATGCTAAGACATAGTTGATAAGAGATAAAAGAAAAGAGATAATTAGTAAGAGATAAATTATGAGAGATTAGAGATAAATGATAAGAGATAGGTGCTAAATGATAAGAGATTAGAGATAAATAATTAGAAACAAGAGAAAAGAAATAAATGATAAGATAAAAGTGATAAGAGAAGAGTTAGAAAATTTACAATCTATACAGCTATGTGTACAATAAGTAAATATGCGATGAGAAACAAAGGTGAGCTTTATGCACTGAATAACATGGAATCATTTTTTGTTTTTTTAGGTCATTATTTTTTTACTTAAATGTCGAAACCTTCAATTTTTGAGTTATCGAAAAAATGAAAACGGGGGGCTTATTTGAGGACCCCCAGATGTCCAATCACCTATTACTTACCTTTCATGCTGGAACACCCTGTATACACAAACACATCTTACACATAGAACCCTAGTACTTTTTCTTAAATACTAGCCTGGATGTCATCCATAAAAAAAAGCTATCATATGGTCAACCACGCTCAAATTGTTTGTTATTAGTTAGCCTAATATATGATGTGTGCAATACAACAACAAGCATTATCCGAGAGGACGCGATACTACACCAAAATGTCTTATTAACATGAAAATTAAGTACAAATTTCATCACAAAACTAACTTTTTTACAATTTCATATCAAGAATGTTGATTCTTACTCTTGCTCTGGGATTTTTAGCATCACTTTTAAAATTTGATTTTTGACCGCCAAAATCCTTTAAATCGACGTATGTGGCGTCGCTATAAATTAGTTATTTACCGCCACCACGTATGTATGCCTACGTTAATCCGACAATACAAACCCATTTAACTATTTAACCATATGCTGCAGAGGCTCAATCCTGAGTTTGCTAGGGCATTTCCGTGTCACGTCACCGTCACGAAACCGGTCACGTATACATTCATTCATAGATTAACATTGAAGCCAAATATATTAAACAGTAGTTAGTGTGCTACTTACAATTAGCCTGTGAATATTGCAAATTATTCTTAATTTAAAAAGTGTATTAAATGTACTATACGTAACCATTAAAGTTTTTAAAAGTTGAGAGAGCTCTGGAAAACTAAAAACCGATAAAAATTTGAATATTTTCTAATTGTAAAGGAGAGTGTGGAGAGCAGAGTAATGCTAAAAACATGCCCAAGTTTAAAATGTTTTTTACATAGTGAAAATAATAGATTTGATTATATTTAAGTTTTATTCCGCATTAACGTGCACTGCTTAATTCACATGTATTTAATTGGATGCATTCAATTGAATCAAATCTATCTCTGGGATTATTATCAATGACATACAAAACCCAAATGCCAACGTATATTAATGGCGGTATACAAACGCGGTAATGAACGTGTTTGTCTTGGACTAACTTGGAGAGTTGAGAAAATCATATCACAATATTTAAATAGTCATCTAAGTTCTAATATTATTAATTTATACATTTGTAAATTTTCTTAGGTCTTTCTCTTCCTCACTCTCCCTGTACATTTATCTTTATAACACCTCTACCTCAACTCTTCTCATAACATGACCAAACCATCTCAGCCTATTTTTTCTCATTACTCCACAATTGATGCAACTCCTAGACTCCTTATTATGTATAAATTTCTTATTCTATCCCCCTAATAACTCCACTCATCCAACTTAGAATTCTTATCTCCAATACACTCATTCTCTGTTCAGTTTTCTTGTCTACTGCCCAACATTCCGACCCATATAACATTTCTGGCCTCACTACCGCCATATAAAATTTATCTTTCAATCTTACAGGCATTCTCCTATCACACAAAATACCTGCTAATAACTTATATATTTTTTTTATTGTAGATAAGATGATTTTAAAAATGTAACGCATTGATTTAATAGCTAACACAAATTCATGTTCAATTCTAGTTTTTGAAGGCCTTCTAATAGATCTCAATAGTAAATAGTTACCTGTCAATTTTTGAACTCTAAAGTTCATCAATTAAAAATGTTGTTCTAATTTTATTAGTATTATATTACTAATTAATTGTGTCTTGGGCAATATTATCAAATTACATGATTTTTTTAACTCACACAGTTAAAAATCAGCTGAATTAAACACAGATAAATCTGAAACAGCGTTAACTCAACGCCAAATAAAATAATGCGAGTTGACATAAAGTTTTTTTTTATCCCCGTGTTATTCAATTCGAAGGATCTATTTAAACAATGAATTCACATTAAAAACCGGCTAATGCGCATTAAAAAAAAAAGTGGGTTCAATGTTTTATTACCCTTTATCCCGAATCACCTCAATTCGCATTTTAGTTACTGAAATTGTGGTAATTATTGTGGCCGACTTTCCCCTATAATATCCTTCGGCGTACGCCGGTTGCGGTCGTTACAAGTTGCTAACACAAATTGTTATTTTTGTCACGGTGTTTACCAAATAAAAGGGCGCATTCATCAGTCACACAATTATTATTCTAAAGCCGGATTTACTACAATATTACTTTGATATTACCTCACCTTATACTTACGGTTATTTGACTTTCTTAATAGTCTAGCGCTCTATTCGTCTACTTCTTCGTCTTCCATTTTATCGATGGATGTTATTCTGGTATAATTATTATTGTGTATTATTTTAACATTATTTAAAACACTTTTCAATCTGGCTAAACAAATCCAAATCTAAATCAAATGATTTAGCCTTATTTCGAGCCATTAGCATTTACAATATTTAATATTTCAAGACAATCGATAGTACTATTAATATTAGACCATAAATCCAAAACAGACATCTGCAACATACCGACGATGAGCTAAGCTAGTCAGTTTAATGTTAGATGCAAATAACATAGTTTAGATCAGTCCCGACTCAGTAGCGTTGTTGGAGGCTGATTGATAATGAGGCCAAATACCGTATTCGACTAATCAACGAACAATCGGATCAGAAAAATTTGAGCTTTACATTCGAATGGTTTGAACGGTTGCAACATAATAATGCTAAAAAGGTTTTCCGGGTAAAGTCAATCTCGTGAGAAAGACAGCAAACGCACTTACGCGCTATTGTCTGGCATTTATTGTTACTTTTGTGATCTCTGAAATGATCACGGACGCCGTTCGATCGGTTCAGCGAACAAAAAAAAAAAAGTTTCCAAATACTATTTTACGAGGGCCAAAAACAAAATGTACCGGCAATACAATTGACTGCTGCAGGAGTACAACATTAGTTTATTGTATCTTTACTAAACACACATTTTAGAATTTCAATCGACCGGCAACGAAACTTTTTTAATTGGTTCTCAAGTCCTCGTTGACATTGTGTGTAGAATACAGCTGGACTTTTTATATTCTAACAAAACGGGCATTGTAAAACAACCAAAGTTACAATGTCTAACGAATTTAATGCGAGGGAAGGAAATCTCTTAATTCTCCTAAATACCATTCCGTTCGAACGCCCTTTAGGAGTTCGCAGCCATCTCGACGGTTGTGTCTCATTCCAATACAACCTCAATACACATTACAAAAATACAGTCCCACTCTGTATAGCAAAGGCTATACTAGGCTGTCCTATAAGTTTGCACAGTTTTGCACTGAACGCCAGAAATCTTTTATCTTTCTTATGAGCCACGAATGTGATTTGAAATATCATCCGGATTACAGTTGGGCAAAATAATAATAAATTGATATCCGATATATCAGTTAAGTTTGTCAACGCTGTAGGTGTAAAGATATGTAGCGAGTATCACTCTAGACCGGTTAGGTTGTGTGGTCGGGTTAGGGTTTTCCGGTATTTCGATCACCCGAGAAGTGCTAATTAATTATTATTATTATTATTATTAGCAATTAAAAACTTCAACCATCAGTCAAAAGCCGGTACGACGAAGGTAGACAGGATTGAGTGTGCTATGTAATTTCACACGCACAACCCTAATACAAATAATACCGCGTGTTGCATTACACGAACCCCACCCTTTGTAGGATATTAATCTAATTTAGTAAAAAATACACCCCGTACAATTTATCTTGTTGATTGCCGTTGCGGTTCTCTTGGCCACGTTTGATAGCATACCATTTGCTATTGAAATAATTATTGTTGTTCATTCAGTACAAAACAAAGGCACGAATCGAGTAAAAAACTCCACAAAATTGTACGCATATTTTATTAAGTTTTAAATTCGAAACGTTTTAGGGAAATATCGATTGAAATAGTAGCTATATATACTCGTATATATCGGTACAGTTACCGTTAACCTATTAAAAAAAAAAAAATAATAATAATAAGCCGAGCCGGACTAATGAATAATTTATTCGAGTGTCTGTCATATACAGGTGTGTTGTACTAAAACCAGTATCGATTCGGCGTGTGTGTGTATTGAAAAGACAATTTAAATATTTTAATACCGTTTTCCGCGCATTACAATACAGGTACTACCGATTTATCAGAATCCTTTTGAACACAATTACAATATTTTAATGTCAACAAATTTTTTTTTTTTACCACTATTCCTGTTGTGCGTTGTAATTTGTAACTGAACGTTTTACTGTATAAATATACAGGGTGTTCCAGCATGAAAGGTAGGGGAAAAAATATATATATTCACTATTCTTCAGTGCGAAAAGCTCAACTTAAAAGAAGGGTCACATCATTTTCAGTCCTTTTCGGCCCCTAACTTAAAATAGTTATTTTCTTAATATCTTATCATTTATTTCTTATCTCTTGTTTCTAATTATTTACCTCCATCGTTTATCTATAATCTCTCATCGTTTATCTCTTATCAATTATATCTTATCATTTAACTCTTATCGTTTATCGCTTATCAATTATATCTCTTAGCATTTATCTTTTAGCAATTGTCATTTATTTGTCATTTATTTCTCATTTCTTGTCTTTAATCATTTTTCTCTTATCATTTTTTGAGTTAAGTGCCGAAAGGGACTGAAAATGATTTGACTCCTCTTTAGAGAGGTGAGTTTTTTGCACTGAATAACAGGGAATAATTTTTTTTTTTAAGTCATTATTTTTTTACTTAACTGTCGAAAACTTCAATTTTGGACCTTACCTAACCTACCTTTCATGCTGGAACATACATAATGCATGGAATGTACATAATGTTTATAAATATTTACAAACAAAATCTTATGTACATTGATGAGAAGATGATGGCAAGTTTCTCAGTTACATCGAATATATGTACAATATATAAGATTGTGGCTGAGAAATATGTACTGAATGACTGTATTAGACCGCGTGGAAAATATCAATTTGGTATCTGAAAATGACATTTCGGCTTTTTTTTTTAATTTTTCCGCTTTTGACGCAATTTAATTTAATATTTATTTTTATACCGTCGTTATTGTCCCGAGGCTAAATTGATATCATATATACTCTACCTCGGGTCCTTTTAACATAAAACATGTAACAAAAAATGTATTTATATATTAAAAAAGAGCGAGAAGCAGACCAAGACGTTTTTTTCGCTAGCCTTTGCGAACCCGCCAGAACGGTTGGCTGATCATATTTTGTTCGTATTGCGCTTTTTTTTTTCCCCGGTAATATATAATATATATAGCGCAATAATAAAATTAAACAGTTTTTAGTACACACGGGTAACTTTCGACATTGCCGCGAAAGCAACTCGAGCTCGTTTGATATTAATAGAAACGCGTTTAACGGTAACAACAAAACACCGACACAGAATAATCAATCACTTAAATCCCGCGACGACGGAAACACAGCCGTATAAAATTTATTTGATTTTTATATTATTTTGTACAGTCCGACCGTGGAAACGAATTACATTACGTCCAAACGGAGAAAACACTCCACCGGAAAGCTTTAATTTTTTTTTTTTTTTTACAGCCGTTCGGTTTTATAGTTACTATTTATATTTTATTACTCGAAGAAAAAGTGATATTAATCTTTTCTAATACGGCGTCTAACGTAGGCAATTTTACTACTGGAACGCACACACGCCGCGATAACGGTGATCAGCTGGCCGTTACGATAATACAGGGTGTGTCAAAAAGAACGATGGGGTTTCGAACGGCTGTAGGTAGTGGAGTATTGGACCTACAAGCTCTACGAAAGAGGAAGTTTCCGAATGACTGCCACCAGATGTATCTGACACTAGACGTTTCATAGTCGTAACTGAACAATGAAGGCTGGAGACACAAACGGGTACGCGGAGATACATCTAATGGCAGTCGTTCGAAACTTGATAACTACCTCTTTCATTCAAGCCCTACCAGAACGCTGTAGGTCCAATACTTCACAACCTACAGCCGTTCGAAACCCCGCCATTCTTTTTGATACACCCTGTATCATTATTATCTGTACTTAAGCAACAGCTAACTTCCGCAATCGCGAATACTCGTTAAAAACGGTGTTTAACAAAACGAGTCCCGATAAAATATGTCGGTCCGTCGCAGCACCGAGACGGTTGCGAATAAAACAACCGACAAGGTTTAAGACGCCGTTTATGATGATGAGTGCACGTTTCGACCCTTATAATTGAACGACCAATAGCACAAATTTACCGACCGCGCAATGTTTCATTCACCTCGTCGTTCGAAGACTCTGTACGTTTGTTTGCACACTTTCTCGCACTGTTGGCACGTCCATGTTTAATCGCACTGCGGTCGTGTAATTAAGTTTAATCGGTACACGGTACAGGTACAAGTTTCTACAAATTCCTTGCAACACCCATTAAAACGGAGAGAGTGAGACAAGAGCCAAGAAATCAGTCTTACGCTGTCTTTCTTTTTTTTAGTTAAGATAAATATTACTAAACACAGATTAAGGCTCGAGTTTTTTCACCAGTCTGTCACGAGAGATCGTTTTCTGAACTCTTCGACCACCCCGTACTAAGCCTTAGGCAATACTTAGGGTGGTCGCCATCGTTTATTGCGCAAATCAATATTACAACTTTATTTGGTCCGCAGAAAAGACATGCTCTTCCCACTCGCCAATACAACAAAAGAACATGAAATTCCCTTAACAAAAACTATAAACTGATAACTAATAACTAACAACTAATAGCTAAAACTATCTTTATTGGTGTCTTCTGCCTTGCTGCGTTCTGCTCGTCGTCGTCGAGTCTCAGCCATAAAACCTTCTGGTCGGTGCCTCCATTTTTTTCTCAGATTCCTCGTCTGCTTCCCTCTTCCCAAGAACTAGCTCGACAAAAGCACTTGTTTGGTTCCAGCCATCCTGGCATCCGTTGCCCTTTCGGGCTCCAGAGCATCGTCTAACCTAACCTCACCTTGACCTTATAGGTTTCTGCTGTCACGATGACTAGTCAAGACTTTATGAAAAGTTTTCTAATATATTACACAGTGTGTGACTATGATGTATTGCGTTTTGTTCCAGTAGCATTGGCCGGCCTTCCGACTTAGATGGCCGACGCGGTTCCCGAGACGACGGTCGCAATTTCCGTCAGCACCGCACTTGCCACAAGCGCAGAGACTCGCAGGCCATCGTTCCCACTCAGTCCACGTCTTCCAACGGTTCGGGAGACGGCGTCGTCAAGACCACCGAAGAACACACCATGACCCCTCCGACGATGGTCATCAGCAGCGTAACGCCTCCGCCCACGTCGCCGGGTGCACCGTCGCCTACACACCAGCAGCCGGCCCCGCCGTCTTTTCCCAGCACTTCGGGCACTCAACAGACGTGCGTGTCGGCTTACACGCCTCCCGTGTCGTCTCCTAGCTCGCCCGTAGCTACGGTACCGCCTCAGCTGATAAGTGGCATGACGCACGCGCCACCAGTGTCCCGAAGAGACTCTACCACACAAGTAAGTTTTTGTTCGGATCCGAACAATCTCCACTCCGTGGGCCACAGCGTCCTTTCAAACGTCTTGTCCGTTAGCTAGCTAGGAATGGGCTTGTATATTATTATTATTAGAGCCTACATATCTACACGTGTAGAACAAGTTAGTGGAGCACAAATACACGTGTAGAACAAGTTAGTGGAGTACAAATACACGTGTAGAGCGAGTTTGTGTAATTTCAATGCACGTGTAGAACAAGTCCGTGTAATTGGAATACACGTGTAGAACAAGTTAGTGTAATTATATAAAAACGGGTGCATTTAAAATTGCACGTGTACTACACACGTGTTATACACGTGCATTGTTAATGTGATCGATATGATAGAGATAAACGGGACTTGATCTATTTTTTTTATTTCCTAGGCTACAATATTTCATTTTACTAGAATCGTTTAAACCATTAGTTACCATTAACAGAGTTTATTGAAAATGTATTTTTTATTAATCAGTATTAATTAATTAACTATATTAAGAGTATTATTGATTTATTCATATGGAGAGCGTATTATTTTTTAATCGATTAAAATATAGATTAAAGGGAACTCGTTTGTTGTTAATTTTCCTTTGAATAACATATTTATTACAACAATATTACTTTTCGAATAAAATAATCGGTTCATTTCAAGAGTGTAAGATATACAGAGTGTTTCAAAAAGAATGGTGGGATTTCAAATGGCTGTAGGTTGTGAAGTATTGGACCTACAGTGCTCTGGTAGGGCTTGAATGAAAGAGGAAGTTGTCAAGTTTTGAATGACTACCGCTAGACGTCTCTCCACGTTCCCGTTTGTGTCGCCAGCCTTCATTGTTCAGTTACGACTATGAAACATCTTGTGTCGGAGACATCTAGTGGCAGTCATTTGAAACTTGACAACTCCCTCTTTCATTCAAGCCCTACCAGAGCGCTGTAGGTTCAATACTTCACAACCTACAGCCGTTTAAAACCCCATCATTCTTTTTGAAACACCCTGTATTTAATTATTAAATATGTAAGTTGTAACGACACGTGTAGTGTAGAGACCTATACATTTCTATCCCTCGTACTTGCCATTGATCATCTCTTACTTCTGATCCGCCTGGTTGGTTCGTCTGATGACACGGCCGTTTGCCTGCAGGTGTATTCAAGAACTCGCCGAAACTCAAAGCCCCAAGTGTCGCCCGAGAGAAGACACAGCAAAGACGGGGGCCTGGGCTTGGCAGGCAATAAACTATCAAGACTGCAACGGCAATCGACGGCCATCGACGAGAGCTGCATGCCTTCCAGCGCTTTTGGACGGAGGAGTTCGCAGCCCACGCTGTCGGCCGAACAGGACTTCCACGACCGGAAGACCAGACGGGATTCCCTGTCGCCCGACTCGGCCCACTACGCTCGGCGTAGGGACTCCAGAGTGAGCGTTAGTGTTGGCTGCCGCCGTTAGATTTGTCTGGTCAATGATAATAATTATCTCAACGCATGATTTTTGCACCTACAGGGAGGACTGTCGCCGGACAGACAGGCCCGGGACGTGTCGCCGGGGAGACAGAGACGACGACGAAATTACCGAAGGCAAAGCACCACGATGGGCAATTACACCGTTCGCAATTGCAGGACTTCCAGGTCGCCAGAGTCCTCGTCGTCTTGTTCGTCACGAGAGCCGTCACCCGCAGGACGGGCAGTGGCGCCGGCCACATCTTCCCGGGCACCGGTCATACGAAGACAATCCACTACCGAAGAGATTCTCATAGCCAGAGGCTTCCGAAGACAAGTGCGTAGACCGGTCGTCGAAGCAGTAGAATATGTGCCTGGTATTTTTTTAATAATTGTAAATTTTCTTCAACTCTTAGTCGACCACCGAGGAAATGATAAGGTGCAGGAATTTCCGCAGAATGTCGTCTCAGTCGGACGAGTGCTACAGGACCAGAGGTAGACGGGATTCCAGCACGCAAATTATCGACGGTACGTTGGCAACCATGGCAGTGGAGACCAGCAGCACGTTGTTTGACTCCAGCACGCAAACAGGTAGGATTTATTTACACTATCAGCGCATTGACTGCTATGTTAGACAAAATCGCTGAACCGTGTGCCTAAACTCAAAAACGATCCATCAGCGGTATTCTCGGTTTGACTTAGTAAGCATCTTATAAAGATGGTCACGATGGCGAATCCAATGGCAACGGTTTGTAAGAGAACTGATGTTTTTTGGTTCATGAGCATAATTCAAATAGCTTAACGTCCAACAAAATATAAAACTGTAAAACAAATTTTGCTTAAATGACCCGGTTATAACACAATGCTGATATTATCTCTTAATCTAACGCAATTAACCGACTGCAATACAAACGTGTTTGAATAGGCGTTTTTCTTTTTTTTACAAACAAATTTGTTTTAGAAATATTTTTGTGCGGGCGATTTATAAAATAAACAACTCATACGCGACGGTGTTCGTATAATATTCATAAATTGATGATGACATCACCTTATAAGTCTTCACAAAATGAATGCATACAATATGTATGCACTCGGTACAACTATTGTGCTCCGATCTGATGTCAGCATGTCAACACTATTTTATTTCACTGGTTTCCCTAAAGTGTAAGAGTTTTTTATTTATCGTGTGCGTTATGTACTCGCCGTCGCTTGTTCCAAGATTTATAACCCTCTATCTGGTCCCTTTATATACAATTTAAATATAGGATTCTTTAACGGGTGCGCAAAAAACGTTACAGTACAAACTCCTAACCGAATGTTATAGAAAAATATAAATTGCAATAGAAGTCAATTGGCCGCTCGTGCACTTATAACGCTCAATCTGAATGTGTTATAATGAAATGTATATTAGTTCCCCGCGCTGTACAGGGTAAGCCATCTGATGTACAACATTTTATTTTTCTCGGGAAATATGAACATTCAGATAATAATTTATTCCTATACTTGTACATATTTCACTATATTTTTCAATACTTTAAAAATTGTCACCTTTCAACCCTTATACAGGGTGATTCAACTAACGTAAGACACACATTTTCTCTGAAAATCTGAATATTTTGAAAACAAAATTTTTTCCTAAAATTTTAGGTACATGTTTTACTGTATATTTTTCAATATTTTGAAAATTTTTGTCACCAATCCTTATAAGCCAAAAAGGGGAATGTTTGGTTATTTTAAATGGCGACATATGTTTTTAATTACATAAATTTGTAGTTAAAAAATAAAAAGATATGTTAGCGTTTAAATTTTAAATTTTCATTCATTTATTTTTGAGTTTTCATTTAGCTGTTTGTTGGCATAACGCTATTAGGTTATTGTTGGTATTCCCCAAGTTCATATGCGTCGAATCGTCATCCTTACGGCCAAACTACATAGACATATCCGGATTACGACCGTTTTACGACCTGGGTAGCGAAGCGTGTACTAATATAAAAACACAGAGCGTCCTGCTTCTGCTATTCTCCTCTTCCCGGATTTCTTCTGTTGCTGCTGCTGCTCCGGAAAGTTTTTAATCCATTTAAGTGGAATCGGACGTGTCGGGGCAGTGAACAATTTTTAATTTCAACCGCCAAAGCCAAACAATAGCTATACATTGTTACACTAGTTCGGCACGACTTTGACTATGGGCGCAGCTAGAAAATAGAAAGCAAACATCAGGTGACATCAGTATTATATTTCAGGTGTAGATGCATGGAGGACTTTTGGCTCCCTCTCGTTTTAATTTTTGTATGTAAAGCTCAACAACCGCCACCAGCACTAAAACCAGTTAAGAGTTTCTGGATAAAGTTATAACAACGTGGGAAATTCGCGGAAACGGATTTTTTCGGTTTTCGCTAAACAATTTAAAAGCAGAGAAACTTTGAGTGCTTTAGAGGTGTAGATGGACACAGACGGGGACGTACAGAGGGGAGGGGTTTCTACAGCATTGTACCTATACAAACACTCTTGCGGAACTCGAATGCGGTGTAACACAATAAGCGGATTATCAACGAGTCGGCTTTGGAAGGGTGGCGACTGTTTTAGGGTTTAAATGCGGGAAAAATAGAGTGGACGACGGTTCGGGTCAGGTCCGAGAGACTTGGAAACTCTTGGTCCAAGGTAATCCCTGTTCTAATTTTCGTCTGCCCCTCCATAAAGCCCGGCCGTGAACACCGAACGGACGGGGACGTTGTCTATTATCCCGGGCTCTAATCCAGCAGGTACATATTATTCAGCTAAACGCCAGCCACTTCATATTGTTATTGTACTAAGCTTCAATGTAGTCTGTACTCTGTCGGTTGGCTATAACAGTTTTAATGTGGCGCAAACAGAAGGACCGAGGTCAGTTAGGCCAGTTGAAAGAAAAAAAGATACCGTTCAACATGTCGTTACAGATTAAATACAACCAGACGGTGCACCCCGTAGTAAAACAATAGATTTTCAAATAACCATTTTTGATTGGTTTAATCTTAATGCAGTAGGGCCAAGTCATAGTGCCGAACACACTGTACAAGTAGTCGATTGACGAATGTTGATGGTGATAACATTAAAGATGCTTGATAGAATTTCATTGACCACACTGTAGAACAGAAGAATTATTTTTTGCCATTTTTTTCGTCACACTGGCATCTTTTGTGAGGTCATACTGGTTTTAGTCCTTCTGTTTACTTCGCTATCGGATACAAGCCAGTAGATATGTTAGCTCATATATTTGTATTATTACTCTACGGGGTAAACTGGACCGGCCATATCCAAGTTATGAAGGCGAATGCGGTTCAACCGATATAATAAAGCGCATGTGGAATATTTTTCCTATTTTTATTTTTATTTTCGATGGGCCAATGTAATCTGAAATTGTATTTGTGCCTCGAATCACTCTATGTCGGTCTGATGGTCGTTCGTGATTTATGTAACGCGATTTTCGCGCGCCAGACCCTTCCGGTAGCGGTGACCACGCCAAGGAAATAACCGCCTTTGCCCTACTCGTTCGCCTCCTTATGCGTTGTTGCCCTGTTACTGTTATAACTGTGTACCCACCCGACAGTGACCAATCGACCGTTCAAGGTAAAAACGCATTCGGATAGGTCACGAATCCACAAATCGTTTATAGGTTTATTATATATATTTTTTTAAATTTTTGCACCTACTGTGCAAACGGACGGTTCGATGACAAACGACGACGGTGACAACTGTAATATTCAAGCATACTATAATTTTGTAAATGCCATATTCGAACATACCCACACTGTATGTTTGCGTTTTACTCAGATACTGAGAACCGGCGTAGATGACGAGCAGCCGCTTTGTTGCCTATAAATTATACTTGGCCACATTAATCGCACTTAGGATATCCGAAAAACACACACACTGATTTTCTGCAATCGCCGTTAACCTTTTTAATTGAACCCCTTATAATTAACAGACGCTGACAAAATATATCTACTCCATCGCTAGGGTTACCCCCCCCCCCTCCCAAAAAAAAAACATACAATCGTTAGTCTGGATTACTTTACTAATACCAATACGTCCAATAGTTAGTATAGAAATACTGTTGTTTATAGAATTCAGCATACTTAAGAGCTTAATTTCAAAAAAAAAATTATAACTATCCAGTTTTACTCGCTTTAATTTAAGCGATTAATTTAAGTAAATATAACATAGATTCTTGAAGGCTTCTGGCCAAACTGCATCACTGATTTGCCTAAATTACACTCAAAAAATAAGTGTGCGCGAAAAAAAATTGGCTACTTTTATAAAATGAAACCTGCATCAAGTTATAAAAGCAAACATAATATATGCTCGATCAAATATATACCAATAAAACAAAATAATTTAAAATAAAATAAATTTAAGAACAAAGCTAGTAAACATGGTTTTTTCACTTGGATGTGGAGTCGAGTAGGGTCACTAAACATTATTCACTTGGTAACACAATAGTCGAGATAAATTGTAAATAAAAAATTTCAAAATAAAAAAAATATATATAACACACGATGCTAAATAGGTATTTACAAAATAGTCGTCATTGTTTTGAAAGTGACCCTTCTGCTGTAATCTGTTCTGCGGTGATAACGTTAAACAGTTGCCTGGTAATTGATTTCTTCGACCACACTGTAGAACAGATGGATTCTTCGAGATTGAGAGTTTTTAAGATCTGTTTACATTTTTTTTTTTTTTCAAATCTGGTTATTTATATTTAATCTGCGATGCGATAACGTGGCGGTAGTCGCGGGATTTGACTTATCGACGGCCGCGGATAGAGAAAATAAATTACAAACGAGCTCGTGCATACTAATGGCGAATACCGTCGGCCGATAGATACAATTATTATTATTATTATTATTATTATTACAATATTATAACGGCAGACAGGTGACATAAAACACATATTATTAATTCGGGCCCCGCCGAAGGGGAAGCGGCGGTCCGGGGGAGGGTGGATCGATTTTTCCTCGTCACTTTTCCGCACCGGCACACGCCCTGTCTACGTACCGACTACACCGTGTCTCATTCGCACCCCGTCTACACCCGTCTACACCCCATCCCTATCACGGCCCCTGTATACCTCCTGCTCCAAATCACGAACGATACAACCGACCACGGCGTAGCGCGCTCCACGACCGAACAGCTGATCCGCCGGAAAACTCGTGACCAAGTCGCCGTGGTACGCGCGCCGCCAGTGTAAGTCCGTCCGGCGGGGTTTACACCGGTCACACATACCGCGTGTTGGCACCGTGTCAGGTGCGTACTTGAACTTGATTGGAGTCGTCGTCGTGCTTATGACTAACGTCTTCGTTTGAAAAAAAAAAAAAAAAAAAAAATAGCATCTCCGCTCTTCATCGAAGCTAAAATTTCTTCGAAATTTCTTACTTTAGCGATTCCGTCTCCGTAAGAATTTTCTCGGTATCGGTTCTTCGGTTAATCGTTTGGAAAAAAAATACATTTGCATACACATAGTGTGGCGTGGTGTGGTGTGGTGTGCTCGGTTCGGTGGTTTACCATACCGCTAAGACATGCAGTTGCTACCGTCGTGCCTTCTTAGACCTTCTTCG